CGAGCGATCTCCCCGTCTCTCCTTGTGTTCCCGGCCCCCCCCCCCCCCCCCCCCCCCCCCCCCCCGGTCCCCTGCACCCTCCAATGGCTTTCGCTCGCCCTTTCCCCGGCGTTTGGCGGTCTCCCGTGTCGCCTGCCCGTGGTCCGTCCATTGCCGACTTCGATGTCGCCGACATGGCCGCCTGTCCCCCTCCCCCAGCCCATGTGCCGGGGTGCTTGCCTCAACTCCGGGGGCTTCCCCGCTGCCGCCACCAGGCCACCTCGCTCCGGGTGTGAGCGCGCGACGCACACGCCAAGCAGCCTGGGCGCTTCTCGGCAAGGGGAGGGCACAGCCGGGCCCCCGCAGGACAGAGAGCAGCCACGGCAACCGGCGCCGGCAAAGGCATGTGCCGGCCCGGGGGAGGGACCTCGCGCATGCTCGCCAGCCCCCTGACAGCCAGACATAAAAGCCCCGGGACTAGGGGGCATCGTCTGGCCCCAGCGAAAGAGTCCCCCCCCCCCCCCCCCCCGCAGTCCTCATCTACCCCTCCCCTCCATCTCGCGTGCCTCGCGTGTCCTTGTGCGCGCGCCCCCGTCCACCATGGCCGAGCATCCGCGACTGCGGCCCGGCCGAGGGCCCGCCCCGAGAGCCGAGCTCCTCCTGCTGACACTGCTGGCAGGCGTGATCCTGCCGACGCTCAGCTCCACCCGGCACACGGGGCCCTCAGGCCTGGCCCTTGCGGCGGCCCCGGCCGCGCCTTCCCCCTCGACCGTGGCTGCCGCGGCCGTGGCGGCCCACACGGCCACCCACCGGGCCGACGTCGTGGCCGCCGCCTGCGCCCCGAATTGCACCCTCTGCCCGGACGGCGCCTGCCAGGACTGCGCCTCGGGCTACATTCTGAATATCTTCGACGAGGCGGGCCCCTGTGTGACCGAGTGCCCGCCGGCCTATCCCAGCCTCTATGTGGAGAATGGCAGTGCCATCTGCTGGCCGGAGATGATCCGCGGGTGTGTCATGCTGCGCCAGGGCGCCCGCCTGCCGTACGAGTGCATCGAGTGCCAGCCCGGCCGGTACCTGTCCAATGGGAATTGCCCCGTCTGCCCGGAGGGCTGCACCGCATGCTCCAGCGCCACCAGCTGCACTGCCTGCGCCGCCGGCAGGCTTCACCACCTGGGCCAGCAGTGTGTGTCCTCCTGCCCGGACGGGTACCACGCCAGCGGGTCAGTCTGCCGGGCGTGCTCGGCCAGCTGCAAGACCTGCGCCGGGGCCGCCAGCTGCTCCAGCTGCCCCAGCGGCAAGATCCTGCACAGTGGGTCCTGCCTGTCCGGCTGCCCCACCGGCACCTACCTGTCGGGGGGCTCGTGCGTCAGCTGCTCGGCCAATTGCGCGGCCTGCACCGGGGCCAACTCGTGCACCTCCTGCCAGGGTGGCTGGTTCCGCCACGGGGGCGCCTGCGTGCGCACCTGCCCGGCCAGGACCTTCCCCGACCCGGGGCAGGGCGCCTGCCTGTCGTGCGGGGCCCATTGCGACGAGTGCCGCAGCGCCACCAACTGCCAGGCCTGCCAGCCGAACTACTTCCTGTCAGCCGGCGCCTGTCGCAGCACCTGCCCCACGGGCTCCTACCCGGACACAGGCAGCCGGAGCTGCGCCGCCTGCCCGGCCACCTGCTCCGCCTGCCAGTCGGCGTCCGTCTGCTCGGCCTGCAAGCCGGGCAGCTTCCTGGAGGGCGGGTCTTGTGGCGGCTCCTGCCCGGCTGGCAAGTATGCCAACGCCCAGAGCCACACCTGCACCGGCTGCCCCGCCGGCTGCGCCACCTGCACCAGTGCCACCTCGTGTGGGTCCTGCGCCGGGGGCTACTTCCTGAGCGGCTCGGCCTGCGTCACTGCCTGCCCGGCGGGCACCTTCAAGGACCCGGCCAATGGCACGTGCACCGGCTGCCGGACCGGCTGCGCCACCTGCTCCGGTGCCACGTCCTGTGACTCCTGCAGCACCGGCTACTTCCTGCATGGCGCCTCCTGCGGCACTGCCTGTCCCGGGGGCACCTTCGGCGATGTTGCCGACAACGCCTGCGCCGCGTGCGGCACCGATTGCGCCTCGTGCACCGGGCGCGACAGTTGCACTGCCTGTGCCGCGGGCCGGCTCCTGCACCAGGGCGCCTGCGTGGGCGCCTGTCCTCCGGGCACCTTCGCCAATGGCCCGGGCACCGTCTGCCATGCCTGCCCGTCCGGCTGCTCGACCTGCCAGTCGGACACGGTGTGCTCGGCCTGCAAGCCGGGCAGCTACCTGGAGGGCACCTCCTGCCAGGAGACCTGCCCGCCCGGGAAGTTCGCCAACCGCCACGATGGCACCTGCACCGCCTGCATGGCCGAGTGTGCCACCTGCCCCGATGCCCTGTCGTGTGGCTCCTGCTCTGCGGGCGCCTTTTTGACCGGGGCCAGGTGCGAGGCTTCCTGCCCCGAGGGGACCTTTGGCGATGTGGCCAGCAATGTGTGTGTCGCCTGCGGCCCCGACTGCGACTCCTGCGCCAGTGCCACTGCTTGCACGGCCTGCAGCCCGGGCTCGCCGCTGCACAACGGCGCCTGCCTTCCCGCCTGCGAC